TTCCCTTCAATTCTTGTTGATAAAGTTAAGACTGGACACAGGCTGCTAAGACCATATTCTTCTGTGAAATATATTCCTAGATAAATCAGAAATGGAGCACCATGGTGAAAGGCAAAGAGCATTGTACCTAAAAGTAAATATTTTGAGAAATTGTTGTGGAGAGTGAAAAATCAAAGTTGGTGGGGTAAGCTGTGAGAATCTGAAGGGCGTGCTCAGCTAAACGGTGTAAAGGGCACATGCGTGTGAAGCACACTTAGCATGTTATATAAACTTTTATATTGGTTATCACTCAATACCTCACATAAATAACAAAGATAACTGGCCAGACTCCTCAGGAAATTCACTTTGCTTATGGAGTAAATTTTGACAGAGGGTTTGGAGTAGGTAGAAAATAGGACTTTTTATTTTTTAACTATGAAAATTGTTTTGACCTTTCTTCAAAACACCAAATTATAACTTTCTAAATCTTACTTTAACAAAGACCTGGATTTTAGCCTTTCACATAAAATTAAATTATTCTAATTTTTAAGTGATGTATCAAAAATGGAAATACTCTACTGGGAACCACTTCCTCTGTACTAACTGTAAGAATAACAGTGGTTTTTGAGCTTTTCATTTTCCAGATGCAATGACATAATACAAATCCATGTGGAGTTGAAGAAGACCCATTTATGACAGCCAAAAAATTCAAAACAAAAATATAACAAAAGCTTAGGAATAAGAAATATGTAAAACCTATGTGTGAAAAATATATAAAACAGACCTCTCAGATCACAAGAGTAAACTTAATTAGACGTGTTCTTGGACAGGTGGACAGAACGCTTTAATGTCATAAAGATGCCAGCTCTCCCTAAGTTAGTCTATACACTTAACATGCAAAAACCAAAACAAAACAAAACCCTGAAAAAGAAAAGAAATGAGAGGAAACTAGCTAGCCCTATTTTATAATAAGCTATTAGATTCTACCACTAAAACAAAATGATACTAGTGCATGAATACATATTAAGCCAAAGAACCAGAATGGAAAATAATAAAATAGGCCCAATTGCATATAGAAATTGATATATGATTAAGAGAGTGACTTAAACCTTCAGGGAGAGGGGGAGGCATGCACTCAAGATGGTTGGAATGCTGTACAATCTGAGAATGGGGGAAAATAACACTATTATTTTTTACTTTTTTTAGGGATAGGGTCTCGCTCTGTCACGCAGGCTGGAGTGCAGTTGTACAATCACAGCTCACTGCAACATCAAACTCCTAGGCTCAAATGATCTTCCCACCTCAGCTTCCCAAGTAGCTGGAATTACAGGTATATGCCACAATGCCTGATCACAACTCTATCATTTCAACAAATAACTTGCAAAACAAAAACAAAGAAGGATTAGGAACTGATAGATAGAAGGAGACTTAAAAGAACCTATCTATCCACCAAATGCAATGTGTAGATTTTGAATTGTAAGAAATATCGTGAAACAATCAGGAGAATTTAATTCCTGACTAGATATGTGAAGATGATAAGGAACTAGTGTCAGTTTTAAGATGTAATAATGGCATTGTAGTTATGTTTTCAAAAATGCACTCTTTAGTAAATGTAACAATTCTCCAATTTTTTTTTTTTTATTTTTTTTTATTTTTGGACAATAGCTGAGCAGCCAATTCTCCAATTTCTATCTAAAAGTTTATAAACAAAAAATTGAAGGAGATAAACAATATAACAACATATTTTTAAACCATAGTTCTAACAAATTTAAGGCTCAAAAGTAATAAATATCATTTAAAATCATATCAGCCCTGTACCCTGAATTCAGAATCATGAATGCTTTGAGTCTTATCTAAAACTGAGTGGAATCTGGAAATTACTACACCATAGTAGACTTCTCATGAAGAAAGAAATAGTGCTTTAAAACACTGTAGAGAAAGTAAACTCCTAATTCAAAGTGGAGTCCATAGAACCCTTTCAGGGTAGGGAGGAGAGGAGAGAACTGAGACCCTCATCTCAGTGAGGTCAAAACTATTTTCATAAAAATACTAAGATGGTATTTACCTTTTTTCTCTCTCACTCTTTTTTTTTGATGTGCTATTGAATTCAGTTTGCTATTATTTTATTGAGGATTTTTCCATCTATTTTCATAAGAGATATTGGTCTGTAGTTTTCTTTTTCTGTTGTGTCCTTTTCTTGCTTTGGTATCAAGGTGATACTGGCTTTGTAGAAGGAGCTGAGGAGGATTCTCTCCTTCTCAATGTTACGGATCATCCAGAAGCTACATAATATGTGGTGACGTTATTGCTCTGACATGCAATGGAACGCATGTCTGTATATTCTCATGTTCTCAAGAATTTTTTAAGGTAATACATTTAGGATATAAATATGTATATTTTCAGAGATTAACTTAAGCTTATTCTCTGTTCTTCTACTGTACTCTTACTATCTTTAGTTATATTTGATATAATCTCTATAACCCCATTCACACCAAAAATCACAATTTAAAAAATTATATTTTCCCTTGTGCCTACATGGAAACATATTAAGAAATAAATATATTTTGTTGGGTTTTACAGTAATATTTTTAAAATTTTTAAAAAACTTTTCCAAATTTTATAAGTTTTACCTATATTATTTTAGATTTTATATATAAATAACACATATTTTTATGTATACAAATATAATGTGTATCTTATATTTATATATTTTAATACATATTTTAGATTATTATATAATTCAACATTATTTTAAATTGTTAAATATACTATAAAAATAAAATTTCTAGTATATTTTCTTATATTTAAGATGAATTGTTATATTTAAAAAGGAAGATTAATAGATTTCCTTTTTTATCCCACAGCTGTTTCATCAGGAAAAGATGAAACTGACATGTCAGAGAATTCTCTGACTCATGAGATGGAGACATCTACTCCAGGGAAAGTGGGCTAAACTGTAAATAAAAAGCAAAAATATTACAAAAATTATTTTTCCCTTGGCTTTACAGATGTTAATGATTTACCTTATTGTGTCTTATGCAACATAATGTTTCAAATACTATTATGGTGCAAGCTAATTGCAGCATCAATTTGAGACCAATCATTCAGAGTCTAAACAAAAAGGAATTAAATAATTTAAATCTAGATGCGATAAACTGATATCTCATCCACAGAATGAGTACAGTTATACCTTATATCAGAACCTTCTGTGTTGCTTATATTTTTCTAGTATCAGTACCCACTAAGCATGGAAGAAGATCTTTTATGTGAAACTTGGCCACACACACAAGTGATAAGAAATACTTCAAGTACTGAATAATTATTTTGGTTTTTCTTGGAACAATGGGGCACTGATAACTGTTTGCACTGATACTGCAAATACAACAGTGAGTAACACTGCAGATCAAAGGAGGGACTCATCATCATATTCTTTACTGCCACACACGCACAGTAAAATCATTGCCAATTTTATATAAGAATGTTTGAAGAACAGTATAAAATATTGATTTTATTAAATTCTCACTCTGGAGAACATTTTTAAAAATAGATTCTGTATGGTGAAAAGGAAAGTATGCACAAAGCACTTGTGCTTCATCAAAAAACAATAGTTGTCTGGAGAAAAACACTCATCCGAACTGTTTGAGCTATGAGCCCATCTGATCACTTTTTTTTCCATGGAAATTTACTTGAAAGAATGACTAGCATGCAAGCAATGGCTATTCACACTGTGGTATCTGGCACATTCTTTCTCAAAAATTAGCAAAGTGACCCAGTCATCTCAAGGAAAACAATTATGTGATAGCATTTGTATCCCATGATAAATTTGAGCTTTTAAGGAGAAATTAGAATCTTGGAAAATCTGTGTCTGCCAACATGAGCTTAACAGCTTTCTAATACCTAAAGATATTCCTGATAAGACTGGTGGTGATAGCCATGATTGTAACTTTTGATATTGTATAGTGAAATGTGTCAATATTTGGAAGATCTGCATAATTCAATGAACCAAAATTCCATTGAGCTATTCCCTAATGAATGATGCACAGGCAAAAGATCCATTAAAAGTGCAAAACAGACCCATGGGTGTTTCAGTGTTTTAATGTAACAGAGTATGAAAAATTCAGTGATATAATTTCAGATTCCACATTGCAATTAACCTTTAAAAAATGACCGTTTTCAAATTTTGGTGGTATCAAAACAAAGTATCCACAATTATCTGAGGTGGCTATTAGAATATTACTGCCTTTTCCAACTACATATCTATGTGGGGCCGGATTTTCTTCATATACTTCAACCAAAATAATATATCCTACCAGACTGAATGCAGAAGCAGATATGAGAACCCAGCTATCTCATACCAGACAATGCAATTCATAAAAATGTAAAAATAATGCCATTCTTGTCACATAACTTTTTTGCCTTGGAAAAGATCATTGTTTTTCATAAAAACATGCTATTTTGTTAACATGTAATTGATTTATTATATTTCTTTCCCTTTTTTATTTTTGAATATTGCTCTGTCACCCAGGCTGAGCCTCATTACAGCTCACTGCAATCTCAAACTCCTGAGCTCAAGCGATCCTCCTGCCTCAGCCACCTGAGTAGCTGGAACTACAGGCATGTACCACCACACCTGGCTAACTTTTTAAATTTTTTGTAGAGATGAGGTCTTGCTCTTCCTCAGACTGGTCTTGAACTCCTGGCCTTAAGCAATCCTCCCACCTCAGTCTCCCAGAGTGCTAGGATTATAGGTGTGAGCCACCACACCCGGCCTGATTTATTGTTATTTCTAAATGAAGGAATATTTTTAAAATTTGTTTTAATTTCAAATATAGTAAATACTCATAGGCATAACCACATTAAAAAAAAAACCTCTTGGTATACTCAATAACTTTTAAGAGCTTAAAGAGGTATGGAGGTCAAAATGTTTGAAAACTGCTGCTGTATATCATTTCCAACACACTGAAGCATTTTAAGAAAAGGAAAAACAAAGCTGGATGATAGGATAAATGAATATCACTTACTGCAAAAATGCCTCATTTACAGCATCAAAGAACTCAGGCCAGAGGATTTCCTGATCTTCATGTCCATGGCAGGTGAGCAGAGCCTCCACCAGGGGTTCAACATCTGGCAGAGTAACAAGAGGGACACAAACTCGTGACAGGGATGTTACTCGTTCAGGAGCCATTCTATGAAAGAAATAAAATAAAATCTTCATGCTGAAAAGGTCAATGACAGGTCCTAATGTAAAGAGGACTACTCTAATACCCATCTATGAACTCTTTTCTTTTAATCAATTCTCTAGGAAGAAACCGTTTAGCTGCCATTCTCATTTCCATATCACTCATTGTCAGGACTTTGTTTGGTATAACTATCTACAGACACCTCCAACTTACCATGCCCAAAACAGAACTTTTGAATTCCTTTCCCAAATGTTCTCTTTCCCTAGTGCTCTCTGCCTTATTTGCTCAAGCCCAAACTCTGCTTCCTCCCTTTCTCTCATGCCCCTTACCTGATCCAGCAGTAAATACTGTCAACTCATCTGACCTCTTCTCAACACTTCCATTACTACCCTCTGAACTGTGGCCTCCACCACTGGCAAGCCTGAGTTATGGAGTGGCCTCCTATCTTCTTGCTCCTGCACTCATTCCTATGGCTTATGATCAGAACACTTCCAGCAACTTTTTTAAAATGCAGATCACGTCACCTGTCTGCTCAAAGTCTTGCCAAGGCTTCCTACCTCATGCAGAGAACAAGCAAAGACCACCAAGGCCTTCCACGGTGGGCCACCGTCTATTTCATTGGCTTCGTCTCCTTCCACTCCTCCTTTGTCTGTTCTACCTCTGACTGCTCCAAATAAGGTCCTGCTGTTCATTCGGCCTGTGACACATGGCTAGCTCCCTCATTTCACACAGGCCTTAGCTCAAGGGTTACTTTGTGAGGTCTTCCCTGATCATCCCATATCAATGTATTGTCCACCATTTGCATCAATTTAAATTTAAATTAAAATAAAATTAAAAATCTAGTTCCTCCGTTTAACTAGCCACATTTCAAGTGCTCATTTATGCTGCATGAGGCCAGGGGCTACAGTATGAGTGCAAGTTCACAGGATGTGTCCGTCACACAGGACGTGTCCACGGAAAGCACCACTGGAAGCAGAGTTTCAAGTGCTCTCTCACCCTTGCTCTACTTTCTTCATTCCCACTTTTCACCACCTGACCTGTGAGGTATTTCCTTGTATCTTGCTCATGGTCTATTTTCCTCCTACAGGCACTTTTTTCTATTCTGCCCACTGCTCTATTCCTTGCACCTTGAGACAACTCCTTAACACACATTGCATGCTCAAGAACTACATATTAAATGAATTAGAGATTAATAAAATGAAAGTTCTAGGTGTACGCTATTGGATTCTTTTCTAGACATTTTCATGTATAATCATAAATACAGAAATTTGGTCTTGTGTTTTGTGAAACACAAGTGGTACCACAATATAGAAAATATAGCTGTTCCTTTTTTTTTAAAAAAAAACTTGCTGCCTATTAGAAAATACGTATGTTATACTACTTCCATAAAAAAGAATGAAAGTAAGTACGTTCTGTAATTTAACAATGTATCTATTAATAGGCACTGAGGTTGCTTCTAATGTTTCACTATACCAAGGCCACAGTGGAATCCTTGCACGTTCCTAGCTGTGCCCACATGAGTGGGCATATTAAATTGTCTTCCAAAAGACTGTACCAATTTACTTTTCCACCCTTGTCAATGATATTATTGTTTTTATTTTTTGCTAAATTGGTGGACAAAGATTGTTATTCCATTGCTTTTTCATTTGCATTTTCCTGATAACTTGTGAGATCTAGTAATTATTATCCACTTGCATTTCCTCTTCAGAGAATTTGTTTTTAAATTAGTGTATGTTTGTCCTGTTCATTCATTTAATGAACATTTTTTGATCCCTTACAATAGTCAAAGTTCTGTTTGAGGTGTTCGTGATACAGGAGCAAAGATGACAAAGCTTAGTAAGGGAGAAAAACAATAAAATGCCAGATGATATTAAGTGTCATGCTGAAAAGTAAAGTACATTGAGGGATTAAGAAGTGCCAGGAATTTACTGAGAAGGTGACATTTGAGCAGAGATGTAAAGGAAGTGTATGAACAAAACATGTATCTATCTAGGAGAAAAATGTTGCAGGAAGATAAAAAGCAAATGCAAAGGTCCTGAGTATCTGAATACAAGGATGCCAAGGTGGCTCAACCACAGTGAACGTGGGAGGAAGACGTCAGAAAAGCTTTTGTAGACCATTGTAGGAGGCTTGTGTATTCTTTTTTTCTTTAACTTAGACTTTACCTTTATCAAATTTATCAGATGCAACTGATAAGTTGCAACTTTATCAGATGCAACTATAAACAGTCAAATAGTTCTTCAAAGTTTATGAAAATAGCAGCTTTTGAAAGTGCACTCCCACTCCCATTTTCTGATTTCCATAGAGAACCACTTTCAACACTACTAATTCTTTAGTAGTTCATTCAATGCATTGTTCAATGCAAACTACAACACTGAATTTGCAGTGAGACATCCACCAGATTATGGAGAAAAAAGAACTCCAGGATGTTTCTGATGAGAACATAGAGAAATTGGTACAACCTCTTTGGAGAACAATTAGTAGTACCCTGCTACTATTTCCTCTTATAGGTTAAGGAGACTTAAACAGAACTCTTTGTAAAGGGTAGATTCAATTTTGCTGAACATTTGTACAGAGATGAATAAACGATTATTTATTTACAGAATGGAATGCTATATGGCAGTTGAAATGAATTAGATCTATAGTATCCAAATATAAATCTCAAAAATATAGTAATGAATAAAGAAGGCAAGTTGCAAAAAAGTTCCACAATATGCCATTACTTATGTTGTTTTAAAACACTCACAGCAATACACATATATATGAAGTAAAGTCTGAAGACTAAACTCTCCCCTCGAAGTACTAGCTAGATCTGACCCTGCTTAGCTTCTGAGAAGGACTAAACTCTAACCTTTTCTTTTGCCCCAATTCCTTTTTCTAAGGGGGCCTGGTGAGTCATGCTTACAAATGATAAAATCTCAGTAAACAGGTTTTTATGGTGTGGTTTACTTTCTTATCTGATTCTGGTATAGCATCATATGAAAGATGGAAGACATTTATCTTAACTCAAGCATTCCTTTCCACTTATTCCTGGCCTTTTGGATAAAGCCAGACTCTTTCAGCCAATTGTCAACTAAAGAATCCCTAAATCCATCTATAACTTGTAAGCCCCTGCTCTGAGATGACTCACCTTTTTGGGCCCAACCAATGTATGCCTTCCATGTATTGATTTATGACTTTACCTGTAATCCCTGTCACCCTAAAATTTATAAAATCAAACTGTAACCCAACCACAGTGAGTCCACTTGCTCAAGGCTTCTTGGGTGTGGCTCTGGCCATGGTCCTCAAATTTGGCTCAGAATAAACCTCTTTAAATTATTTTACAGAGTTTGGCTTCTTTTCCGTTGACAAGTGTTAAAACATGACAGGAAGAATCTACGTCAATTTCCTGAATGTGCGTACTTGGGGGGGAGGGGAGAAGAAATGGAGTGGGAGAAGGATGCTTCAACTGCAATTGAAATATTTTATTTCCTTAAAAAGATCACATATAAATATCAATAGAATGCTACAATACTAACATTATAAAATCTGGGCAATGGACACGCAGTTTTTCTATATGTCTTAAGTATTTTATAATTAAACTTTTAAAAACTATGTTACCTAGTAAAATACTAAAAATGAAAAGATGATAGTTATTAAAAAGGAGTTATTTCCTGCCTCTGGTTCTTGTTTCCAAAAGAGCAAGAGTAGCTCATGAAAAACCTATCACCTCTAATAAGCCTGAGATTGCTTAGTATTTATTTTTCCCTGGAGTATTTTTTCCCTTTATTTATATTTTTTATGCTTTTTTCATGACTTGTACCAGTCTCTTTTCAGACTATTTCCGTAGAATTATTTGTGCTTTTCATTTTCTCACCTTTGGACAGGAGAAGACAGTTCAAAAAAGCATATAAACTCTCCTGACCACACAATTAGGAGAGTCCGCTGGATGATATCAGTTGATATGCTTTTTATAGCTTAAAAACTTCCCTTTGTGCGAGACTGTGCCATTTTGGAAGCAGCTTCATTCCCCAATTCATAATTGTTTCTTTGTTAAGGATGTTTGTTTTTCAAAAACAACATGGACAAATTCCCTGACACAGAGGAAAGTCCACTAAAGGATGTCCATACTGGTACCTGGCTGGCAAGAGCAGCAGGGATAAAATGGCAATGAAGTTGGTTAGCAGTTTAGGTATTCCTAGTCAAAGCAAATCTAACATATAATTAGAAAAATTCTTAACTGAATTTACCAAGAATTTGAGATCACTGTGCTAGCAGAATGTCCCCTGGAAACTGACACATCTGGTACATTTCTAATTTGATCTATTGAATGATGTTTACCAGAGAGTCTTTTCTTTTTCTTTTCTTTAAAGAATTTAGAATTCAACAAGATATTATAAATTTTTTTCCAGGTACTTTTCTGAATGTGTTGAGCCCATATATAGTTTTTGGATTGAGTTCATTTATACCTATTAGAATACTGAATTTAAAAAGCAATTTGATGTGTGACAAGCTCTTTGATTCTTTTAATGAACTTTTCTGTTCGTTATCCAGAAAAGAACTTGGACCTCTAAAAGCTTGTGTGAGACTCAGAACTCTTAAGTCCACAGGTCTCTGGTGAATTACAAATTCAACCAAATATGTTTTCTTGTCTCAAGCAGAAACTGATTTCATGAAACCAGGTAGAGATAACATTTGAAAGACAGTTGCCAAACATGCTGGGGCCATTACAGTTGTGGCAGTCATTAGCTACAATAATATTTAAGATATGTATCATAATACTACATAATTTTCTCCTACATATTTGAAGTTACCTGTACATTTTTAAGATGTACAAGTCAAACATGTTGAATCAGAATACAGCACAGGCCAACTGCTTGCTGGCATATGCTTAAATCCAGGATATTCCCATCCATTTATGAATCTGAGTTTTATCATTCCTTTCCTTTCACTGGTATGACTTCAAATGTTCAAGCAGCCAAAAACACTCAAACTTAAGTATTGTAATGCTATGCTATTTTACTGTT